TTTTTTAAAACAMCTCCRGCTGGATTAGGTACCTGTCACAATTTCAGTGGGGATCCACTTGGGAAATAGTTTGAGGTCATTGATGGGTGTGAGGATGGCCTCAATGGTGCCAAACATGGAGGAGAGACCAAGGCTGAAGAGCATGACGAAGAACAATATGGCCCATATCTGTGAGCCTGGCATCTCCAAGACAGCTTCCGTGAACACAATAAAAGCCAGGCCAGTACCTGAAGCACTCTTAGGGAGGAATAACAAAAAATAAATAAATAAAATGGGTGAATGTCTTGATTGTTATGGAATTGCCCAGGAAAATAGAACAAAGGGAGATAGAAACTAGGAAGGTATTAAAGATTTAATAAAGAGGAAGACAAATATGATGTGCAACGGAGAGTTCAAAGTCCTACCTGGTCAAGAAATGTTTGTAGGTCACATTCCCTCAGTGACAAATTGGATACAACATCTGGATAGCTCTGATTTAAATATTCATACCATTTATTGTAGTTGTCCAATGTCATGTTTTGATCTGAAATCTCAAAGTGGTTGGTCAGAGTCAGGATGTTCCTGCAATCGAGATTTGAGAAATTAGATCAACATTTTTGTAGAGACTAAGAAGCTTTAAAGCCATCACAAGTACACTTGCATACTCTTTTAGGCAAGYGTTAAATCCGTTTGTGGCTTTAAATCCCAGTATGGAAAAAATGGGGATGGATGCGTAGAGAGATGTGGCGCTGTTTATTACTCCTACAAGAACAGCGTCCCTCTCACAGTTATTTCTGAAAAACAGAGCAGSAWYWATMGTTGGGTTTTRTYRTCAYTTWAWCTCTGCCAGAAGTTTCAGYTCTTACCTTTCTGCATTATAGCTGGAGAAAGCTATGAGACCTCCGAACGCCACAGAAAGAGAAAAGAARATCTGGGTGGCAGCATCCAGCCACACCTGTGGGTCCTTTAAGGTTTCCCACTGCATCAAAAACATGTATTAGATGTGTTTTAGATACAACCTATAACCATGAAGTAACACAAAWAGACTCACATTGGGAGTGAAAAGGTAAACCAAACCATCAGTGGCTCCAGGTAGGGTGAGGGCACGGATCAGGAAGATGGTCAGCACTAAGTAAGGGAATGTGGCTGTCACATAAACTGCCTGAAAAAGTTTMGCTTAAATAAATCAGTTTGTTTCTGGTTGCAATATAAATCAATATTTGTTTTTATTCACTGACCTTTCCAACGGACTTAATGCCTTTGATGAAGCAGAAGTAAAGTATAAACCAGGAGGTGGCCAAACAGACCACCATCCACCATTGCAGTGAACCACTGGTCTCAATGTCTGGTGTGATGTTCAGAGTGTTTCGGTACCAGAAATAATTCACAGGAGTGCTTTTCTCACACTGCACTATAAAACCTGTATGGATAAAGCAAGATTTAGTGAAAAGTTGTGTCAATAAATAAAAGCCTAAGCTAATTTCTTATTGGGCTGCATCAGTTAGCGCAAATTTTGAACAACGTTCTAAAAGGAGTTTCCAATTGAATTTTAAACAAGTTCAGACCTTGGTTCGGTTCATTCTTTTTTTTCTTCTTAAATAGCATTGAAAGCAGAGTTGTACTGGTAAGAGGTACCGGCCTTTTACATGTAGTGTGATGGTGTGTGGAATTCTGTGACTTCATCAAAAGATTAAAAATTGTTCTGACCATCATTTGATGTAAATGTTTCCATTCCCCTCTCATACAACTGTGTTCTTTCTTAACAAGCAGAATTTAACCAACATTTTGTTTACTCAAAGGCAGTGGAATACCATTCTAGCCATCTCTATTTCAATTGTAATGAAGGATTGCTGTACGGGTCACAATGATAGAGCAAAAGTGTTTCCAACTTTTGGTAAAATCTCAAATAACCACAGAACTTATATTTGTTAGACTTGCTAATGATAAATGATTATTCTGTTCTTATTCTGGTTTTTTTTTTATTTGTGTTTGCATGGCATAATTTCATAGCTTAATATATGTATATGTTTTAAATAATCTGCATCATCCTCCACCTGTCTCTTCCCTCCAGCATATGATACAATAAAAATGTGTCTTTTAATGAACTCTTTGATACATGTTTATCATTCTTGGTGCCATACTTGGTATGTACTTGGACATTACCAGTTTTGTCATCCCGTGGTAGGAACTGGCTCCCTACCAGGTGCGTACCTGCTTCTTACTGATTACAAACCTGGTGGTATTATGGTTTTTCTACCAACTATTCTATTGGTTACAAAAATATGACCAGAGGTCTTCTCACCAGTCTGGTTTTCATTGAGAGGRCACTCCTTCCAGGGCAGTGGGTTTTGAAAAGAGTGAAAAAAGTACCAGAGCACCCAGGCCAGGATGGTGGTATAGAACACACCAATCAGGAACGATACCAACATAGGAGCGATGCCTGAAGACAGGAAATATAATTGAGTGTGAAGCAAATTTTTAAAAAGTGCAACTCAAGAAAGAAAGAAGAATCATTAAGCTTCAAAGCAACTGTAAATATATAGCTTCTGTAAAAATACAGTTTTCTTCAATAAAAGTTCAAACTTCTACTCGTTAAAGGAAGTGTTTGTTTCCCAAGGTCCAATCTAAGCTTTAGTTTTCTAATAATTCTGAGTGAATACCATCACGTTATCTTTGTGTAAGAGGTTTGGGTTAAAAAAGAAAAGTGAGGCTGTCAAAAACCATTTAACAACATTTTACTTATAACTTCAGGCCACCCACCGACTCCACCCAGCAGTGGAGAGATGGAGTTCCATACTCCAACGCTGCCCATGCGAAGCCTCTGTCCTATTGCCAGCTCCAGGTAGAGCAGCGGAAGGCCCTCAAACACCAACGCTATCAGGTAAGGGATGAGGAAAGCTCCTGATAATGTGGGAAAATGACAGATGACTTTGTCATCATACATTAAAATATGTTGCTATGGTTTACAGGTTATTGGCAACAAGGAAACTGAACAGAAAAACTTATTGGACTGCTCTGAATACAGTGGGGTGCGAAAGTTTGGGCAGCCTTGTTAATTTTTGTTACTGTTTGTTTTCTGAGCTCTGAATAAATACCGAACAAAGTCAAAGTTTTAACAAGTTTATTGTTAGTAATTTCAGCTGGAAGGTTGGGTCCGGACTCCGGCGTCGTCAATTCTGGACACAGAAGCTTTGGGTTAGGTTGAGTTGAGAAAACAATATTATTTGTGAAAATAAGATGAGACACCAACCTCTCCTTCTGAGTTGAAGTCCGGGTAGAAACAACAGCTGATGTGTTTTGGTTCTGGGCTGTGTTGTCACAGGGAGCGATAATGTCGCTGGACTTTTTTGAGGTCAGAAACGGGGCAAGGGTCATACACAGGTGGTCAGAGGACATTACCAGGTTTGGAGGAGATGGCTGAGTCATTGGTCCAGAGATGCATTCAGGGGTCGAGATCCAGGAGGTCCGATGTGGCGCGGTTCCGTTCAGGGAGCAGGCGAGTGACAATAATCCAAGGGACAAAAAAAAAGGTTGTTACCATGTGAGCAGATGGAAGGCGGGATCCGACAAGGGCTGAAGCAGGAGACGGCAAACCAGGAGACATGAGCAAGGTCGGGGACATGAGGCAAGAGCAGGACAAGGGGAAAAAAACGCTGGAAGATCATAAACTAGGCTGATGATTATCTGGCGGGGAACTGGAGAGTGAGACTGGATTATATACTGCTGGAAACAGGTGAGTGAAATGAGCTTCATAAGATTTTCAATGACGGGAGGGGCGAGAGCAATGAGCAGGAGCTGGATCTGAGCTGGGATGAACTAGAACTGAGACATGAACAGGTCAGACAGGGACAGAATCATAACAATTTTCCTGACTTACCTTTATAAATCATTGATTGTTTGCATGGTGGAAATATATTATATAATCCCTCCTAACTTCTAAATTCACATTACGTTGACATGTTCTGTCCTGTATCTCTCTCTGATTACTGCCACATTTATATAATCTGGTTTCATGATTCCCTGATGTCTACAACCTTATGTTCATTTCATATTGCATGCAGTGACGGCTGGTATAAGTGGGCCCTCTCTAAGCCCTCCCTGGTGTTCACAATAAAAATGTTAAAATAAGCAATATTATAAAATTACAATGTAATTATATACAATTCATAAATAACAACTTAAAAATAAACAAAATTTAAAAATAATATATCTTATTTTGTGAAATTTACAAAGAAAACTGGTGCCAAACCACCTGGGAAGATCCCAGGGTCGTTCTGCAGGGCTAACTWTTCACAGCCCATTTTCATGTAATGAGTGTCTTGGTTCAGAATGATTGACAGACATCTCGCCACGCCCCCTCGGTTTGCGGCTCATTGGGGCTAATTTTGTTCAGCCCAGGATCAGCCCAAAGCCACAGGATTCAGCCAACTAGAGTGTACGTACAAAAACGTGCCTCCAGTGCCAGTGTATGTGGGCGGGGTTTGGTGTAGACCGACGGATACGATGCGAACAGCATTAACATGTCAAGAAATTGAGGCGCTAAACAACCTGAGGATGTTCTCATTCTTGATAGGGAGGAACGTTGGTTTGAGAGAGGAGTAAAAGAAGCCATTTTTGTGAAGAAAGACCGTCCATCATTAAACAGAAGTGGAGGCCTCCGTTTTCAGCTGTCCCCCTCCTATAGCGCTGCCATTGGCAGTATCACTCCACCCCCTGTTAACAATAGGT